ATTCTCCTGCCTCAGCCTCCTGAGTAGCTGGGATTACAGGCACGCACCACCATGCCCAGCTAATTTTTTGTAGTTTTAGTAGAGACGGGGTTTCACCATGTTGACCAAGATGGTCTCGATCTCTTGACCTCGTGATCCACCCGCCTCGGCCTCCCAAAGTGCTGGGATTACAGGCTTGAGCCACCATGCCCGGCCCTTCATACACTTTTATACCTTTATTTTTTTCAACAGTTTTAGCCAACTATTACATGAAACCTTATTTAAACTTTCTAGTCTTCTGCAGTTTGGGTCATTTACAGTGTTGCAGAATTTGCGTGTAAATTTTCACATTTGTAGACATCTTTTTAATCTCTGCTATATCTGTGCCCCCTTTTCATCTCTGATATGATTTATTTGGGCTTCTTTTTTTTTTCTTTGTAAGTCTTTGCCAGAAGTTTATCAACTTTTTAAAGAACCACTTTTTGGCTTTGTTGATCCTTTCTATTATATCTTTATCATTATTTCTGCTCTTGTTTTCTGCAGCTCCTTTATAAGTCACTTTTGTTCTACTTTTAATATTCAGAGTGTTTTTTTAGTAAGTGACAGAAACCCAACTCAAACTAGTATTACGTGGGGATAAAAGATAAATGCATAGACTCAAGTCACAGAGGCCAGATTACAGCTGGCTTTAGGCACATGTAGTCCAGAAACCTCACGGCTCCATCTGTCTCTTGGGGGAAAAAGCTGCAGAGCCCAGATACAGGCTGTGAGTGCACTAACCCCAGCAGAAAGACAACCATTTCCTGATCTCTCTGGCAGGAGAATCTCAGGGAAGCCTCTGATTAGTCCAGCTCAGCTTAAGGGCCGGTTCCTAAGCCAAAGCCAGGAAATTAGACACCTTGGCCAGGTTGGGTCTAGGGGGGAATAGTTATATATGGGTCATGACTTCAAAATCAAACTCTAGAATGAAAGACCTGGAAATAAGATGCTGGTACCCAAGTTAATTAATTTGTGGCTGGGTCGGGGCTTGGAGTTGTTTTTTCCACACTGAAAGAGAATCACTAGAATTTGTTAAAATATTGGGGGTGGGGGCGGACATTGCATGTTGGTCTTTTTTTTTATTTTGAGGTGCTCTCCATTACCCAGGCTGGAGTGCAGTGGCATATCATGTCTCACGGCAGCATCAAACTCCTGGCTGAAGCATTCCTCCCACTTCAGCCTCCTGAGTAACTGGGATTACGGCACATACCACCACACCTGACTAATATTTTTATGTTTTTGTAGAGACCCTTTGACTAACTTGTTACTGAAACAAGTTTTACAACTAAAACATAATCTCTTATATACATCAACATGCTAACAGTGATCAGCTGATGAATTATGGGTAATATTTAGATCTCATCTTTTAAAGTTGTTTATATTTTTGGAAGTTTCTACAATGAATATGTATTGTTTTATACAGAAAATAAAAAAATAATTATTTTAATAACAAACCCTTCTTTTGTAATTATTGCTTACATAGTCATTCTGTGACATATATAAGTACCTAGGCAGAAAATGTTTATTTCTACCCCCCCAAAAAAAAACAAAAAAATGTTATTTACAAACTCTTATATCTAGAAACCTGAAGATAAGCTATACTGATCCACTAAATAACTGCTACTTCAAATCACTATTACTTTGTTCTCCACTGAACTGCTAGAGGTGTGGTGGTGGTTAGAAAAGTCACCAGTGGGCCTTGTGACTTCCTAGTGTGGGTCCATACCCCCTCTCCAGCCCAAAGCTACTCTCCAACAGTACAGCTGCCATCAAAAGCCTCTTCTCCTGTCATTGAATGACTCTTTGAAAAGTGTTTAAAATCAGAGCTGGGCTTGGTGGCTCATGCCTGTAATCCCAGCACTTTGGGGGGCCGAGGCGGGTGGATCACCTGTGGTTGGGAGTTTGAGACCAGCCTGGCCAACATGATGAAACCCTGTCTCTACTAAAAACACAAAAATTAGCTGAGTTTAGTGGCGTTCCCATGTAGTCCCAGCTACTCAGGAGACTGAGGCACAAGAATTGCTTGAACCTAGGCGGCAGAGGTTGCAGTGAGCCAAGATCATACCACTGCACTCCAGCCTGGGTGACAGAGTGAGACTCTGTCTCAAAAAAAAAAAGTGTTTAGAATCAGGGTCACAGAAATCAATTGTTTACAACATGCATTATTTTTAAATTTATGTGATAGTCTGAATCGCTATACTTACTTTTATTAAGAAGAAATTCTGAGGCTGGACGTGGTGGCTCATATCTGTAATCCCAACACTTTAGGAGGCTGAGGCAGGCGGATCACTTGAGGTCAGGAGTTCAAGACTAGCCTGGTCAACATGGTGAAACTCCATCTCTACTAAAAATACAAAAATTAGCCAGAAGTGGTGGCACATGCCTGTAGTCCCAGCTACTTGGGAGGCTGAGGCAAGAGAATGGCTTGAACCCAGGAGGCGAAGGTTGCAGTGAGCCAAGATTGTGCCACTGCACTCCAGCATGGGTGACAGAGCAAGACTCTGTGTCAAAAAAAAAAAAAAAAAAAAGTTAGAAATGTCTATATTCTGTGAGAAAAAAAATGAGACAGTTCTCAAAATAATAAAACTGGTATCCTCAGTTGGTTTCTCAGAATTCTTTCAGGAAATGAGTGAGGTTTGCAGAGCTCTATCCCCAGTGGTAGATGGGAGTAGCATGTTTATTAATTTCAGTAGCATATTATTAAACTGAAAGCGTACTTTAGAATAATGTAGGTTGGCCCTTCTTCTACCTTTGGGATTATTAAAGCCTGGCTTTGATGTCCAGAGACCTCTTTCATTATGCACAAGAATGATGATATGGTTGTTAACTTTTAACACCTCAAATGTTCCCCAGTAAATGTTCTGAGTGGTAGTACTGACAAGTAAAGCAAAAAGCCTGCAATTTGACTGACATGGATTACTAATGCCAACTTTTGTTGATACTAAGAGGAACTGGAAGAGAAATTCCATACTTGTCAGCTGCTCTCTGAAATTACACAGATTCTGCATAGGCAATTAAAGCCCTGAGATTATAACCAAACACATAAATTTATAAACGCTGGAGAGGTGAGAAGCTGACATAGTTTTAGACGTAATGACATCTTATAAGTAAATGCTTTCAACATTTCAAGCGTGGCATGCCTTGCTATCTGGTGTGAGGAGAGAAAAGAAGAAACGAGGGAAGGGTCATTCCCTTTTTTTTTTTTTTTTTAAGATGAGGTTTCTCCATGATGGCCAGGCTGGTNATGGCCAGGCTGGTCTTGAACTCCTGACCTCAGGTGATCCACCCACCTCGGCCTCCCAAAGTGCTAGGATTACAGGCGTGAGCCACCACGCCCAGCGGGTCATTCTCATTTTACCTTACAAATGTGTACAAGCAACTGAATGGCTTTACGATGCCCACATCACTGGCCTTTGTGAAAGAGAATTCAGAATTGGATCACCAAACTATCTCCATTAAAATAGGATACTCGGCCAAATGTGGTGGTTCAGCCTGTAATCCCAGCACTTTGGGAGGCCAAGGCAGGAGAATCTCTTGAGCTCAGGAGTTCAAGGCCAGCCTGGCCAACATAGTAAGACCCTGTCTCTACTAAAAATACAAAAATTAGCCAGATGTGGTGGTGCCTGCCTGTAATCCCAGCTACCTGGGAGGCTGAGGCAGCAGAATCACTTAAAACCAGAAGGCAGAGTTTGCAGTGAGCCGAGCATACCACTGCACTCCAGACAAAAAAAAAAGAAAAAGAAAAAAAGGATGCTTGTCATCTCTAACAAGCCATTGTGTTTGCTAAAAGAGTACAACGTAAACCCTACTAGGTTTATTTGACCATGGCCATCCAACATTCTTTGATTAGTTAAATGTGGAAAGAAACATTTTCTTAGTTAAGTAATTCTTACTTCAAGGTCCAATACTGAATAAAGCATTTGTTCAGAGTGGTGTGGGTGTTTTGAACTGCTCAAAATATGGTAAGAGCTTTTACTCCAAAGTCTAAATGGAAAAAGCAGTAAGGTAATAGTTTGAAACTATTTAATTTTTACCTATTTATTTATTTATTGTAGAGACAGGGTCTTGCTATGTTACCTGGGCTGGTCCCAAACTCCTGGGCCCAAGTGATTTCCCTCCCAAAGGGCTGGGATTACAGGTGTGGGCCACCACACCCAGTCATTGAACCACACATTTCTACCCTGTGGCTGTCTCAGAGGGTTGGCACTTCTGACCAAGAATTTGAGTCTGGTCTGGGTATTTCCTAGATTTGCAAACTGGCACACCCTGCTGGTAAATACAAATGTTATATTCACTCGTAAGAATGAGAGTGGGGAAATTTGTTCATTTCCATCCCAATTAGGTACAGAAATAATAAAATTATCTTTTTTTTTTTTTTTTGAGATGGAGTCTTGCTCTGTTGCCCAGGCTGGAGTGCAATGGTGCAGTCTCAGCTCACTGCAACCTCCGCCTCCTGGGTTCAAACGATTCTCCTGACTCAGCCTCCCGAGTAGCTGAGACTACAGGCAAATGCCACTGTACCCGGCTAATTTCTATATTTTTAGTAGAGATGGAGTTTTATTATGTTGGCCAGGCTCGTCTTGTATTCCTGACCATATGATCTGCCTGCCTCGGCCTCCCAAAGTGCTGGGATTACAGGCATGAGCTATCATACCGGGCCTGAAATTATCTCAATTGAAAGAACACAAACTGGGTATAAAGTGGTTGCACAGCACTCCAGGGATAGAAAAATCCAGCCCTGCTGGTAGTTTCTCTGTTAACAACTCAAACCTTTTGTCCATCTTGTGCATTTTGAATCTGGGGGCAAAACTGGTCAAATCCTTTCAGGGTCTGGGGGTCTAGCATCAGAATACATTTTGCTCTGTTAAGACTCAGTCTTAGGCAAAAGGAAAGGATCAATCAGTGGTTTTACATGTAGTTTTCACAATACAAGGGCTATGTAAATTATCATTTGTGTTTTTAAATGTGGATATGTAGGCTGGTCCCAGTGGCTCATGCCTGTAATTCTAGCACTTTGGGAGACTGAGGCAGAAGGATCACTTGAGGCCAAGAATTTGAGACCAGCCTAGGCAACATAGCAAGACCCCCAGGGCACAGTTGCTCATGCCTATAATCCCAGCTCTCTGGGAGGCCAAGGTGGGCAGATGATCTGAGATCACAAGTTTGAGACCAGCCTGATCAACATGGAGAAACCCCATCTCTACCAAAAATACGAAATTAGCCGGGCATAGTGGCACATGCCTGTAATCCCAGCTACTCAGGAGGCTGAGGCAGGAGAAGCGTTTGAACCCGGGAGGTGGAGGTTGCAGTGAGCTGAGATGGCACCATTGCACTTTAGCCTGGGCAACAAGAGCAAATCTTCATCTAAAAAAAAAAAAAAAGCTAAAATGTAGATACGTAAACATACACTTATATTTTAGCATATACATATAGCCTGGTATATACATATACTTTTTTGGGGGGAAGTATACACAAGAAATATTATTTTTTCATGGAAGGACTAAAGGATATGGGAAGGAAACTTCACTACCTATTTTATACCCTTCTATATTTGACTTATACTGTAGATATTTGTTACTTTTTTAAATTAACAGATTATTTTAAAATATTTAAATTTTGAAATGTTCATATATTGTGAAATATTTTCTTTATAAGGGTTTAGTGTTAAAACTTAATATTATCTAAAAGAATAAAAAACAAAGTTTCCAAAAATGTTTTAGTAACCACATTAAAGGATAAAGACAAAGGTAGAGCAAGTACCAGAAATTTATATAAACTTCCAAAATTTTATGAGAATAAATGATTTGACTCTCAGTCTCCTGAGTAGCTGGGACTACAGGCACATGCCATCATGCCCAGCTCTTTTTTTATATTTTTTGTAGAGTCGGGGTCTCGCCATGTTGCCCAGGCTGGTTTTGAACTCCTGGACTCAAGAGATCCACCCACCTTGGCCTCCCAAAGTGCTGGGATTACAGGCGTGAGCCACCATGCCCAGCCAAATTTATATTTTATATCTATTATTTTTTAATGAATTAAGTATAAATGGGACTCCTTGGCATTTGTTATTCATTTATTGATTCAACAAATATTTATCGAGTACCTACCACATTCCATTAAAGGAGCTAAATGCCTGAATTCAAAGATACATAAAACACAGTGCTTGCTTTCAATGCAGTCACAACCAGTGCCTTTACTTTGCAGAAAGGATGATGTCATCTCCTCAAGGAGCTCCTTTTATTGTCCTCCTCAGCACTTTACAGTCAGAACATAATATTAAAATCAGAATCAAGAAAATATATTCTTCCCTGTATCCTATATTCTTATAATTAATTATAGGCCATCTTAGTAGTTATTTTAATGTAAAAGCTAAAGTGAAAGAAACTAGTTAGGCCAGGTGGCTCACCCACCCCTGAAGTCCCAGCACTTTGGGAAACTGAGGCAGGTTGCTTGAGCTCAGGAGTTTGAGACCAGCTGAACAACATGGCAAAATCCTGTCTCTACTTAATACACAAAAATAAGTCGGGCATGGTAATACATGCCTGTAGTCCCAGCTACTCAGGGGAGGGGAGGTGGGAGGATTGCCTGAGCCCAGGAAGTCCAGCTTGCAGTAAGCCATGATCACACCACCACACAGCAGCCTAGGCAACAGAGTAAGACCCTGTCTCAAAAAATTAAAAATAAAAATAAAGAGATTAGTTAATTCATCTGAGTAGTAACCTTAAAAATACACATTTAGTTAGGAAATAGTAGGAATTTTTTTAAAAAAAGAAAAATACATATTTACAAATAAGATAAAGAAACCAAATGTTTCCAGAGTTCTATTCTGATATTCATAAACACAAGGCACTCACTGGTGGGAAAGTTGGCTATTATTTTTATTACTTACAATCATCGGCCAAAACCTGGTCAACTTCAGAAGAATTCTCAGAAATTGACTCTGTAGTACATCACTAAAGAAGCATCATAAGTGCTTCTAAAATCTTGACTTTGGCCGGGTGCGGTGGCTCACGCCTGTAATCCTAGCACTTTGGGAGGCCGAGGTAGGTGGATCACCTGGGGTCAGGAGTTCAAGACCAGCCTGGCCATCATGGTGAAACCCCATCTTAAAAAAAAAAAAAAATCTTGACTTCTTAGCCTTTTTTTACCGCTGAAGCCTTACGTTAAATTGTAGTCATCTAAAAAAGAATAGAGCGGCTGGGCACAGTGGTTCACGCCTGTAATCCCAGCACTTTGGGTGGCCGAGACGGGAGGATCATGAGGTCAGGAGTTCAAGACCAGCTGGCTAGCATAGTAAAATCCTGTTACTACTAAAAATACAAAAATTAGCTGGGTGTGGTGACAGACACCCATAATCCCAGCTTGAACCCGGGAGCTGGTGGTTGCAGTGAGCCAAGATAGCACCATTGCACTCCAGCCTGGGTGACAGAGCAAGATTCAATATCTCAAAAAAAATAAAAATAGAGACCAAGAATAGATTCCACATAAGCAACAATCTAGGTTTTAATCCTTGCTGTTTATTGTCTTCAAAATACATTAAAAAGTCAATTAATTAAAAATATATATATATTTATATATATATATATATGTATATATATACATATAAATTTTTTTTTGAGACAGATTCTCGCCACATCACCCGCACTGGAGTGCAATGGCACAATATTGGCTCACTGCAACCTCCACCTCCCGAGTTCCTGGATTCTCCTGCCTCAGCCTCCCAAGTACCTGGGATTACAGGCACACACCACCACGCCCAGCTAAGTTTTTGTATTTTTAGTAGAGTCAGAGTTTCACTATGTTGGCCAGGCTGGTCTCCTGACCTTCTGATCTGCCCGTCTCAACCTCCCAAAGTGCTGGGATTACAGGCATGTGCCACCATGCCTGGCCTTAAAATACTTTTAAAGTTATTCTAAAGGATAACATCAATTGAAAAACCTCATGTGAGTATAAAATCAGCAGCTGATTCAAAATGGCACATGGAAAACGTGTAGCCTTTCATTTTAAAAAATCCCTGACCAGGCCGGGCGCGGTGGCTCAAGCCTGTAATCCCAGCACTTTGGGAGGCCGAGGCGGGTGGATCACGAGGTCAAGAGATCGAGACCATCCTGGTCAACATGGTGAAACCCCGTCTCTACTTCAAATACAAAAAATTAGCTGGGCATGGTGGTGCATGCCTGTAATCCCAGCTACTCAGGAGGCTGAGGCAGGAGAATTGCCTGAACCCAGGAGGCGGAGGTTGCGGTGAGCCGAGATCGTGCCATTGCACTCTAGCCTGGGTAACAAGAGTGAAACTCCGTCTAAAAAAAAAAAAATAAATAAATAAATAAATAAATAATCCCTGACCTTGCAATAGCACCAGAGCTTGCAATCCTTTGAAAAGGATTCTGTTAACATGTTTAATATTCCATGATAAATAAGGATCTGTGATAGTTGACAGCCTTAAAGGTGAGCAAGTATGTAGATGACATACTTCCTAAGGCTCTTATCAGCTCTAAATTCTGTAACAGGACAGAAATATTTGGTTTAGCTCATCCTATTATTTTGGCTGTTGTTCATTCTCATTCCATCATGATTAAAACTGTGTTACTTTATTATTGTGAGTTCCCTAAAATTTGCTAATCCCTTTCTCCAGCTACCTGTACCTAAAGGTTTACGCCTTCTTTTTAGGGTCTCATTTTCTGTACTGAATGGACTCATGTCCACAATGAATAAAGTCACCCTCACACTCTTAAATATTAAATCACATAATTTTTATTGACTCTGGCTTCTATAGCTTTAAATGTATAACCATTCTAAGCAGCTAGGAAAACTGTTTACGGCTTAGCAGTTTTGTAGAACAATAGAATCAAGAATATGGAAATATCCTTCCCATAGTTCCAGCAGTCTCTCTATATAACTACACTCATTATAGAAAACATGTAGATGTAGAAAGATAAGTTACATAACCACAAGCTTCACTACCATTTTTGTCTTCTCTATGATAACACGCTGTGTCAGCTCACTCTTCTGTCACCATACCTATCTATGTGGCTGCTGAAAAGTCCACCGCTTCTCCTGTTTCTTCCTCTTTGGTTTCAGCCTCTTCACTCCCTTTCTCATTCTCCATCTCTGTTTCCGCCTTTTCCCCTGTCTCACCTGGAAAAGTAACCAAAGGAGATACTAAGAGACAATCATTTAGAATTAACATAAATTATCCCACAGTTTGTCTGCAGTGGGGGCAGCTCCTGATCTTTAGTTCTAAGTAGTAAGTTTCCCCAGGGGAATCAAGAAAAGTAATCATCTCAACCAGGTGCAGTGGCTCACACCTGTAATCCCACACTTTGGGAGGCTGAGGTGGGCGGATCACATGAGGTCAGGAGCTCGAGACCAGCCTGGCCCAAAGTGGTGAAACCCCATCTCTACTAAAAATACAAAAATTACCTGGGTGTGGTGGCACAAGCCTATAATCCTAGCTACTCAGGAGGCTGAGGCAGGAGAATCACTTGAAACCAGGAGGCAGAGGTTGCCGTGAGCTGGGATCATGCCAATGCCCTCCAGTCTGGGCAACAGAGTGAGACGGAAAGGGAAGGAAGGAAGGAGGGAGGGAGGGAGGGAGGGAGGGAGGGAAGGAAGGAAGGAAGGAAGGAAGGAAGGAAGGAAGGAAGGAAGGAAGGAAAAAGAAAAGAAAGGAAAGGAAAAGAAAAGAAAGGAAGAAAGGAAAAGAAAAGAAAGAAAAGTAATCAACTCAATCCTCTCAGAGCCTCTGAATGGCTGATGTTGAGTCAGTTAACATCTAGAGTCTTGGCATACTCTTATGAAATAAATTCTCTGTAAAATCAGGATGCAAAATTACCAAAGAAATGGCAGTAGAACATTTGACAATAGAAAGTTTCATGGCCAGGCATGATGGCTAACACCTGTAATCCCACTGCTTTGGGGAGCTAAGGCAAGAGGATCACTTCAGGCCAGGAGTTCAAGACCAGCCTGAGCAAAGAGACCCTCCAACTTTACAAAATATTTTTCAAAGATTAGCTGGGCAGCTGGGGGTGGTTGCTCATGCCTATAATCCTAGCCCTTTGGAAAGCTGAGGCGGGCAGATTGCTTTAGCCCAGGAGTCCAAGACCAGCCTGGGCAACATGATGAAACCTTGTCTGTACAAAAAATACAAAGATTAGCCAGGCATGGTAGTGCCCGGCTACTCAGGAGGCTAAAGAGGGAGAACGGATTGAGCCTGGGAGGCAGAGGTTACAGTGGGCTAAGAATACACCACTGAACTCCAGCTTGGGTAACAGAGCAAGACTCTGTCTCAAAAAAAAGTAATGATGGTTTTTTTAAAGAAAAAAATTAGCCAGGCATGGTGGCACAGTCTTGTACTCTTGTAGCTACTTGAGAACCAGGACAGGAGGATCCCTTGAGCCCAGGAGTTGGAGATTATAGTGAGCTACGATTGCATCACTGTACTCTGGCTTGGACAACAGAGCAAGATCTCGTCTCTGAAAAAAGAAAGAAAGAGGCTGGGCATGGTGGCTTACGCCTGTAATCCCAGCACTTTGGGAGGCCAAGGCGGGAGAATCGCTTGAACCCAGGGGGCGGGGGCTGTGGTGAGCCGAGATGGCGCCATTGCACTCCAGCCTGGGCAACAAGAGCGAAACTCTGTTGAAAGAGGGACGGGGAGGGGAGGGGAGGGAAAGTTTTATTTGTATGTAAATCAAAGGGTGGGCCAGGGGAGAAAGAAAGAGAGAAAGAGAAGAAGAGAGGGAGGAAGGAAGGAAGGAAGGAAGGGCGGGAGGGAGGGAGGGAAAGTTTCACTCATATCTAAATTAAAGAGTGGTCTGGGGTGCCCGCAAATCTGTCTTGCTTGGCCATTATGTATTTAAAAACAATCATTAAACATTTACAGACAGCCAACACTAACAAGGTTGGACATTGCACACACAACCCTGTTTCGCTGAGAAGTTGGCTTTGGCGGCATTGGCCCTAGTTCCATGGCTGGAGCTGTGCAGAGCTGCTTCTTTTGGCAAGGCTGTGCTCTCCTGTTTGCCAAGGTCCCCTGGGCTCCCATGGTATGGCGTGTGTCCCTCCCCTCACTCATTTTCAGTATCCTAGGCCTAAAGACTTTTGAGTTTGCCAATCCCGATGTAAATACAATCTGCTTTTATTGCCTCTCCCATGTTATTCCCAGAGCCCTTCTTACACATCTTTAGGAAAGCAGTTCCCACAACAGGCTGTGGTGATGCATGAGCGTCCTGCCCTCCCCCACTAGACAGGAGCCCCTTGAGGACAGGGACTGTCTCTCACTCAGTCTGCATCTCAGCACCTAGCATATGTTTAGGCATGCAAAAAGTGCTGAGTTAATAAATGAAAGAATTGGCCTGGCACAGTGGCTCATGCCTGTAATCCTAGCACTTTGGGAGGTTGAG